GAGCAAGCCCTTGGGAACTAGATGGTGAAATGCAAACCGGAGTGATTAAAACTTTATGCTCAGGGCTTAAAAGAGCATTCATTTTAACGGAGCAGGCAAAAATATACGTCTGGAGTTTAGAAAGGCTACTTGGGTGATAGCATAGAGAAGGGTGAGCTTAAGGGTTTCGAGGTTAGAGGTCAAAGGATCAGGAGGCTTCAGAACTTAAGCAGGGACATAGCATAGTTGTAGTAGTTGGGAATTGGTAATGTCTCCCATAGACTCCGTTTGGAACTCTCGGTCCTTAGTTTGAAGGCTATGGATCTTTGAAGCAGTGGGGCTTCATAAGAGGCACCGAGTGGTTAGACATGGCTCTCTCAAAGTTACATGCGCCACAGTTCCAGCCACAGTCTTTGCTTCCTGGTTTATATAATATGTAAACAGTTACCTCACATGCCCGGCACCACATACTTTCTCAGCCATGAAAAACTGTACTTTTTCTAAAACCATCAGCTAAATGAAACCTTTTTTCATCAAGCCACTGATATAGATCATTTCAAAAGACTTGTTCTGGAGGTGTACATTTGGGAATCATCAATGTTTTGAGGTTGAATGCTAAGAGACATGATCTGCCAACTAAAACTATAAGAGAAGAAATCCCATAGGCAAACTCAGTGTGCTCCCAAGGTTTACAGGGAGGCAAAGATGGATAGTCATTGAGAGCAAGGAAAGGAGCACTCAAAGATGGAGAGGACCTAGAAGAGAGAGAGAGAGAGAGACATGGCTGCTTTAAAACAAGAGTGGTGTTTGGGAATAAGAGTGCCCATTAGTTAGGCAGTCAGGTCCTGGTTGACCGTGGCCATGAGTATCTCCAGAAAGTGGTGGAATAAAGGCTAGATGAAGATTGAAGAATCAACTGGAGGAGGTGGGGGGGCAGATAGGCTTGAGGTAGGGTCTTTCTGAGTTATGGGTATGTGCCGGCCTTGTTGATGTAATAGAGGCTTCTGTTTTCTGCAAAAAAAAAAAAAAAAAAGCTACTAAGAGTAAATTTTCTTGGGAAGTGGGAGTGGAGATAGGATTGTAGCCTAAGTCAGGGCCAGCATCTCATCACAGATAAAGGCAGATAAGGCAGGAGGATGCTCTGAGTACAGGAAAGCTTGAGGACTGGAAGACAAGAAGCCAATTTCCTGGTTTCCAGGCCCTATGACATTGTGAAGAAGAGAGAATTAAGTTTAGCATTCCTGTATGGAGAACAGGAGGAGCCACTAACCAGAGCCACTGGAATATTACTGAGCAGAACTCAGGATTACGCTGAGATACCAGATTGATTATGTCTTGACACTGCCTTTCAGGAAGGTGGAACACGGTTTCCAAGTGTCTCAGGAACCCAGGGTAAAGACCAGTGACCACTTTCACCAACCTTTGAGTTTCAACTGGTAAAAACGTTAAACAAAGAGGAAATTAACTAACTGATCAGCAAATCGAAGTGTCTCACTCACCCGTGTGGTTCCATCACAGTGGGCTCTCTAACTTAAAGACTCCACTCTATGTCTTTGAGGTTTTAGAGGCAAAGAGGACAGTAACTTTCAAACCTTTTCTGGGCTCTTCCATTAATTCTTTAATGGGCTTTTTAAACTATAAGGGAAGTTCAAAGTGTGACCTACTTTCTGCATGCCATAAACTTAGGGACTGCATCCTATAAGACATATGTCAATGATGCCAAGGACCACGATAAGTCAGAAGAGTGTGATAGCAGCGGGGAGTGAATGGGGAATCTTGGAAATCAACAACATCAAAGAACAGTAGCTGTTGGCTGTTAGACATGAGTTCCGGTGGACACTGGACACCGAAGATGAATTGGGAATCAAGTAAGCCAGCTTCTAAGAATCCTGATGCATCAGGGGAGGAGACATGGACTGGTGGAGACAGCGGTGAATGCTGGAAGAGTGTGCCAGTGCAGAGTGGGCCTTAGTGGAAGATTTTCAAGGACTAGAATTATATCTGGGGCCCATGAGAGAAGTTAGCAAATGCTGTGCCTGATCTCAGGCCACTAAATATTTCACCAATAAACCTCCATCCATAACAAAACCTCCAGGGAGAAATCTAGGCTTTCTTTGTTTTACTTCATTTAAAGCAAAATATAGAATGTTCTGAGAAGATGTAAAAATACACAGGAGATTGATCCAGAAAGTATAAAGGGAAGGCGGGTTTGTTCAAAGTGGGGTGGGGGATGGGGGAACAAGAATAGAAGCCAGAAAGTATCTGGGAACATGCTGTCTTATCCCAGCCTGACTCTTTGCTTTTCCAGTAAGTCAGATAAAATAGGAAATGATTAAAAAAAAATAATAAAAATAAAAAGATTCATACATACCATAAACACTTTATATAACTGAAAACATAAATGTACACACATGTGCCAATCTTTTGATGTCAGGCCGGGCCTGCTTTCTGTATACGGGTCCACTGATTAGAGTTACAGCTCTTCTGTCTTACATAAACCACACCCCTTGTCTACAATTTCCAGTCTTGCTTTCTTTAGCAGGAGGGAGAGCCTGAGCACACTTGTTAAATAATCCAAATGTAGAAAGTCTCTAAATTTTTGTAAGCACTCAGCCAACAGCATGTGCTATTTTACTATTACCCTGCCCACACCTCACCAGTAGCGTGGCATTCACAGCTAAGAATTTAGCAAGGCTTTGGCAAGTCTTCAGCTCGGTTTTCAGAGAAACCAAGCAACCTTTTTGATAGGTTTATATCCTTAAAATGAAGTCGGGAAAACAGGTTGGAGGACCAAGGCAATTGCATTGCTCTTTGTAAACGCAGGAATACACAGTACACCAAGAGGACAGGCTTTCTACGGACCAACATATGTCTGCTGAAGCTGGTTATCCAGGTGGCTAGTACAGTGTGCAGAATTAGCTAATCCTACCGGCGACTTTAGAAGCTAATCAAGAGTGCTTTAGATGCACAGGCAACGGGGCCAGGCACCCAGATTGTGGGTTTTAACTAGCTGCTGTCAGATTGAATGCTGGTGTTTAAAAGGTGGCTTTCTTCTCCATGTGCTTCCTCTGTCCCTGCTCTGCCCAGTACCTAGCCCTTGAGACTCTTGCTGTTTGGGAGAAGAAAGACAGGGACTTGGACAACAAGGCTCCCAGGAAAACAGTAGGAATTTTACAGGTGAGCTCTTAGCTTCTAGTTACCTCTAGATACTGTTTCCTCTTTTCATTCAAAATTCATAGCTAGAAGTCTCACTTGTTTGACTCATTCGCTATGCACAGATCTTCTTCAGAGCTGAGCTTTTCTTCTATGAGACTGGGACCAACATTCATGCCCTTATTACTCACCACTACCAGTAACTACACATAAAGCAAAAAGCACCAGAAACAAAAACATGTTTTCCAAAAATGCTCATGGTACCAGCATCAGCTGTCAGAGGTTAGGCTTGCTTTCCCCTACACACTAATACTAACCCTCTTTTCCAATACCAAATATTTCTTTAAAAACATTCTGATGAAGCACACATTTAATTCTGGTACTTATGAGGCAAAAGTAGGCTAATCTCTGAAAGTTCAAGGCCAGTCTGATCTACATAGCAAGTTCCAGGCCAGCCAAGACTACACATAGAGACCCTGTCACAAAAAAAAAAAAAAAAAAAAATTTAAAAAAGAAGAAGAAAAAAGAAAGGAGGGAAAGAGGTAAGGAGGAAGGAAGGAAGGAAGGAAGGAAGGAAGGAAGGAAGGAAGGAAGGAAGGAAGGAAGGAAGGAGAGAAAAGAAAGAATAAATAAAATTTAATTTTTAAACTGTGTATAAGTGTGTATACATACATGCATATATGTGGCTACCTATGTAAGCCAGAACAAGGCTTCAGATTTCTGGAGCCAGAATTACAGGCAGTCATGAGCTAACACTATGGGTACTAGGAATTGAACTCCAGTCCTCTGCAAGAACAGCTAGTGTTCTTAATTGCTAAGTCATCTTTCCAGCCTTCCTCTAAAAATATTCTTTTAGTGGTCTTAGCAACTTAACACATTTTCTCCATATTCTTCAGTGAGATACCACCCAAGCAAGGAAGTTTTTCCTCAACAACTCTCCATCACAGATTCAATATATATTCAAAGTACAGAATATGAGCTTCGGGTGGAAGTGGCTACTTAGAAATGAGCCACTGTTTGTTGAAGCCTTACTGTGTAATATCGGTGTGTTAGCTGTCCATAAGGCTTCAGTATCATTCTGTTTAGTCTTCACTGTATAATCTCAGGCATCATCCTTAACTTCCTCTGGCTATTAACTTACATATGACATCAGAAGGCAGCTACGCTCACCAAGGTACCATCAATGCACATATCGTATAGGTTTATGCCAATGGTAGCAGCGAGACAGTGAGGACTAAACAGGGAGATGCAATGAAGTCTCTGGACACCCAACACAATGGAGCTATAAATATGCAAAAACAAGTGCAAATACACAGGGGCGAGGCATGCTTGAGACGTTGGCGTCGGAAGGTGCTCACTCGAAGAGAGAAGTCCAAAGCAACATCTGAATCTGGGTCCCTGGGCCTCAGAAGCTGCGCTCTCAACCAACATGTGACATTGTTTGTTTTCAGAATGCCAGGTTAAAGTGGAATTGTTGATAATTTACAAGAATGTTTTTATTGATACACACAAAGTCAATGATGCCCTTCTCTAACAATTAACTACCTTCCATCCTAGACCATCAGAATTAGTTTGGGGCATTCATCCAATTGTCCTAAGGTGTTAGCTGTTTCAGACAATGAGAGAAAATATCAGACGGCTAAAACATACTCCTTCTGGTCTAAGCAAAGTTATTGTAGGGCATGATACGAGATTCTGCTGTGCTCAACGCAAAGCTGGTTTCCGCTCTAATCTGCCAGATTCTCCTTCCACAGATATGAAATGTCTTTAACAAAGTGGAGTTAGGGAGATGGAACCATACTACAGGATAGGAAAGATGAGTGAATCAGTGACACACCTACTGGGAAGTTAAAGTAATCCAAACTTACTTTCTTGGTACACTTCTTCACAGTGTTGATCAATTCTTGCATTACCAGGTCCACACTCTTCAGCGAAGGCCCTTTCAGTTTTACTATCTGCTTTTTGACTATTGCTTCAAATGCCATGTCTGGAGTAAACAGCCCTGTCCTGAATGTAAGAAAGAGAGCAGCGGGTTATAACGAATACAGCAGCCGAGTAGTAGCCGGTAGTCCTTTAGAAGTGTTCGAGTGGACGTGCGCCTTAAATTAAGCATGTAGTAGACCAAGTTTTAAACACATATTGGTAGCTGAAGTGGCGTATCAGTCATGAGAATGCTTTACCTCACAAGCATAAGGACCTGAGTCTGACCCCCAGCACCCACACACAAAAAGACTGGACTGTGGTCCAAGCCTGTGATCCCAGAGGAGGGAAGGCAGATACGAATGGATCTCTGGGGCTCATCACGTTTAGCCTCCAAAGCCTTCTTGGAAAGCTTAAGGACCACTAAGGGGTCCTGTTTCAAAAACAAGGTGGATGGCTCCTGGAGAAAGACAGCTGAATCTGACCGCTGGCCTCCACATGCTTACATGTACACCAGGACACCTACACCCCACCCACACACTGGCACGTGCATACACACACACGTGCAAACCCCCCCACACACACACACAGAAACAGCCATGCATCAATACACACACAAACTATATATAGTTACTAGTTCTATTTAGGACTCCTCTACAATTCTATCTTTAATAACCGTAAAATACAAATTTCCATCTAGCAGCAATGCCCAAGCATTGAGAAGAGGAGCATTTGCCCAGACCTTGCCAATCCCTGGGCTCAAAGCCCCGAACCGCACACAAAACAGCCAAGCATGTTTTCATAACATTACAAAGCAATGTTAACTGTAATTGGTCTCAACTCACTATTTCAAAACAACAAAAAGGAATGCAACCAGGCCTCCATAACGGCACAGATCACTGCAGACACATTCCTGACATGATTTCTCCTAAACTGCCACCTGACAACTCTTTTCATATAGCTCTAGGTGTGCTGAGTAATCTAGAGATGACCCCAAGCATAGTGGGGCTGCGTGTGTGTTATGTTCATGTAATGTGCTGTTTTATATGAGAGTGTGCCTCTGTGCATTGGGCTATCTCTGGGGAGCCTGAGACTAACACTCAGCAGATTACGAGGGGTGACTGACCAAGTTTCCATTCACCATCTGAAAGGCTTTCAGAAGCTGCGCTCTAGTAACGAGTGGGCCTCCCTTTCACACAGTGAAGCAGCTCTTTCCAGCCCAGAATCTACTCTTTCCAGCAAGGCTGTACTGCAAAGACCTGGCTGGTTCTCAGTGTGAGCCATCAACTCACCTAGATGACGCACAAGGCCTAAAGGATGAATTTATAAAATCAGCAAGTGACTAAAATCACAAGAATCTCCTCTTTGTCTGGATTTAATTCAGATTTAATATCATAATAATGCTAACTGTGGTAGTGTGCTCCTATAACCCCAGCATGGAGAGCGGGAGGAGACAGGAGGGTCCCTCTAAGAACCTTTTCCAACATAATCTTATCTTGGCCCTGGTGGCAGAAGCTAAGCCACACTTGGCCACCAACCAGGGGACCCCTCCTTCCCTTAAGGTAACCTGTGAACCATGAACCAGCAACCTATGTGGGTTACAATCGGGACATTTCTATTGAACGTGTGCTTGTGCGATTATATGTAGCTTATTCTACATGAGCTCAAGAAATTTGTTTTTAAAAATGTGTTTTAAAACAACTGATATCATAATCTGGATTATATCACTGTTGACTGAATGCCCATGTTTCTCCTAAGACGTATATGTTGAAACCCTGTAAACTTGATGTCACAGTATTAGGATGTAGGGCCTTTGGGAAGAAACTGGTCTGTAAGGTTGGGGCTCTCATGAATGAGAGTGGTGTCTCATGGGAAGAGATCAGAGAGCTCGCTGGGCCTCCTTCGACCACATATAGGCACTGTGAGATTTGAGTAGTATCCAAACTGGAAGAAGGCCCTCACCAGGCCAAGCCAAGCTGGGGAACTCTGATGGAAGTGCCTTCAGCCTCCAGAGCAGTGAGAGACAAATTTTGTTGTTGATAAGCTAACCAGTTTGTGAGGATTTGTTATATAAGGCTAAAGATACTAAACTACAAAGTAACACAATAACCTTACTCTCAGTAAGGAGAAATGCAATCTCTAGCTCACTCCAGACACATTCTGTGCTCATGTCACTCCACCCTCCCAACCATGCTACCTACAGAAGCCAGAATGCAAAGTCCAGCTCCAGGAAGACTGGCTGCAGCTTGCCAGTGGCTGGACGCCCCCTCCTCCATCCTCAACAGCCTGCATTGTCATCTTCCACCTTCTCTCGAGTCCACTGTACAAGTCCCTCATATGCATGAACTTCTGCACCTGCACACGCACACACACACACTTACATACACAGACACACACACACACACACAGGCACACAACACCCTATGATTGAAATTATTTGTTACATAGAAATGGTTCTACTGAAAAAGAATTACCCTTCTTAATCTTTCCCAATTTTTCTCCACAACTCCAAACTATTCTGCCATGTCTCCTTGGAAATGATTGCTTATGAGCATGCTGCACCTTCCTCTCCACTCAGAGAACAGAATCTTGTTCATCTACTCAGGGATAAGTGGAATGCTGTTTTTATTGTGAAGAGTACAGGCCATGGATACAAAATGTTTTGTTGTTGTTTTGTTTTGTTTTGTTACTTAAAAGTTCCCTAGCAATATAGAAAATTAGCACTAAGCCAAAAACCAAGGTTTTCTTTTTTCTGACTTCTAACTCTCTTCTTTCTTCAGATGATGAAAAACTACATTACCAGTCATTCAGAAATGCTCATTTTCTTTTGGTAGCTTGAAGACAGGAAAAATGCGTATCACTTGCCTGATACCGTGTATGTTTTTGATTGCATAGCTTATTTCTCTTCTCAATTCTTTCTCATTGAACTCCATCTGCAGATGCAAAAATAAAATAAGCCACAGTTATGACACTTAATTCCTTTGGATAATATTATTGAATAGTATAGCATCAGGATAACTTGACTGTTATTAATAAATGGATACTCATGTCTTTTGTAAGCTAAACCCAGATGGTCAAAACATCTGTTTATATGGAGTTCAAGGCCACATGGAACACTGGGGATTTCTGGAACTTCCAGCGGAGCAGAGATTTTTTTTTTTTTTTAACTCTGTTATATGAGGAGTGCTGTGTATAAGGATACCTCCTGGACATAAACCCAGTCCCTCATCTGAACACAGAAGTCTTTTTGCTGAAGGTGGGAAAGCCGCGGCTGCCTTTTCTTTCTGGCCATTTTAACCACCTGAACCTAAGACCTCTTTATAAAAGGAAATTAATAATACCTGACCAAGCCAACACAGGATGCATTGCTGTATAAATATTTCCCAGAAGTCCTAGGCACTACAAATCTACTTGGAAGTAGGATCAAAGAGTCATGGAGCTTAGTCTCAGTAGGCACATACAGAGAACACCGGATATCGCTTTGACAGGGGTGCGGCCATTCCAGCCTCGCTCTCTGTCCACTTCCTCCCTTAACTCTACATCTCAGAGCAATGGCATCCCTCAGCTCTAGCCTATGCTGTGGCTTCAAGGCTCAGGGCCTTTATCATTCTTTCCTTTGTATCATGAGCATCCCCCCCCCCTTTCCCAACTCCTACTGCTTAACTGGCTACCCATCCTTCCAAACTCAGCTCAGAAGTCTGGCTCGTTTGTATCCTTGGGCTGGGATTCATGCCTGTGGGCTGTGTTTCCATAGCACCCCGTGTGAAGTTTGTCACTTTACTTGGCACATTTTAATAAAACCATCTATTAGCCACCTTCTTCCCACACCAATACATAAACATCCACCGCCTTGTACGTGAGGTAGGTGGCCCAGTCCCTAAGTGACTCAGCTGCCTTATTAAGCAATCAATCAATCAATCCAAGCAAATACCAACAAGCCTCACTTCACTCCTAAATACTGACACTTTCCCTTGCGTCCCTTATCGGATGGGCACCATCATCCACTCAGTGTCAAAAGCCAAAACTTGGGGGGGGGGGGGAATTTTGAACCTTCTGGTCTCTTGAATTGACCCAAGCCTGGCAACCTTATCTCTAAAATCCCACAATCATCCGTTTCTCTCCATTCTTTCTTGTTAACATCACTTTGACAAAACAGCTAAAAAGAATTTGCATGTCAGAGCTTCTCCCTTGCACAAGAGCCCTTCCAAGACCAAGTGCCCAACCGTGTGTTCGCAATTTTGCTTTCCCTGTCTTTAAAGGACTCCTGAGACTCCAGAAGCTTCGGGGCAGAAAATATGGCTCATCACCTCTGCTCAGGACCTCCTCTTCCTTACTGTATCTACTGCTTGCCCCTGGGCGATCCAACAGGCATCGAGTTCTTTGGGGTTCATTGACCCAATTAGGTAACACACACCTGTGCAAAATCCTCCGGTCGCTTTCCATTGGGAAACATAAACACCTCACTGCGACCAGGAGAGCCCTGGATGAACTGGGCACTTCCCTCCTCTCTAAATTCTTTCATCTTCCTCTCCACTAGCTCTCCACCTGCGGGGGTGTAATCACTCGGGTTTTGTTGCTTCACAGGAGGACACAGCGTCTTCCCTGAGTTAGCCTCTCCGAGGGACTTTTCTTAACGCTGATGTCTTTATGCTGTGCTCGTCGTTAATATGCCCTTCACTCAGACAGAACCTATCTAAATATCCCATGAAAGGGGGCTTTTGCATCGTATCACTGTAACACTTGAATTTTTCTTACGTTGTCTGTTTTTTCATTTTCTGTATTTCTGCACTAGACAAATTCAACCCTTCTCTCTCTTGATCCCTGAAACCTTAGCCCATAGGAGAGTCTCAGAAACAGTTGGAAGTAGACAACTGATAATTCAAGTTTTATTTCTTGAGGTAATGTCTGCGGACTCACTGAAATCAGAAAAGAAGTTACCAGTACAAAGAATTTTATTCCAAGCACTCTGCTGGTCCTGTGATCCATCACATTACATCAAGAGAGCTGCAAACGAGAATACGGAAGCAACGTGGGACGACGGAAGAAAAGAGCTTTGGTTACAAACCTTCACTATCTCAAAAGGAAAGCGTTCGTGGAAAATGCGGTTGATCTTAGCACCACCAGAGAGCTCTAACGTATCTACTTGGTCCCCCGACCCTTCGATTCTCTTCTCAAAGTCCACAGCGAACTGCTGGACCATCCTAGAATTGAGAAAGAGAAACAAACCTAAGTTAAAAGTTAGTTAAAGTCACGCGGCTCTCCTTGCCTTGCCTGACTTTCAGAGGACGAAGCTTAGACTCCTTTCCTGGTGTTCTTGGCGACACCTACTGGTCATGTCAGCACTGCGCACCGTTCGGCTGTGAGAAGCCCATCACAGGAACACTCGTCACTGAGATTTGTTTTACACATTTTAACTAGAGTAAATATATTTCAAATCTCTTTCCCTTTAAATGTGTTCTATCCATGGTGATTATAACATGAAAGGTATTTGAGGAACAGTTGAATTAAAATTAAAGCTATGTAATAAATCTCAAGCGAGCCTCTACTCCTGTGACATCATGCCTGGCCACTCCTAGGCTCCTGCTACTGAAACACCACACACACAGATACACACACACACACACACACACACACACACACACACACACACACACACACACACACACACACACGCTCCTTTTCTCCCGCCATCAGTCTCTCAGTCTCCCTTCCTCATCCTGTAACTTTGTGCTGGTTGGACTAAGCCTGGCCAGAGTTTCAAAGGTCATCAAGATACTGTTGTCCACATCTTCAGATGCCATGATTTATAGGAGTGTCTGGCCCATTCATGCAACTATGTGCTGGACATGTATTTTCCTTAGCTGTCTTGTATCAAAACACCTCAAACTTGAGCCACTTACCTTCTCCCCATCCTGAGCCTGCTGATTCTCCTGCCTTGGCTCAGCCCTCAGCAACCCCTTCTTGGGTTCCTGGAGCACCAATAGATTTCCATCCTGATGGTCACAGACCCTTCTACAATGAGTTCTGGCCTGCTTTTCAGTAGGTTCCCACAGTTTGGCTTAACCCATTATCTAGGATTCTTCATGCCGGGGTCCTGGCTGTTCTTGGGGCCCACCTCTTGTGCATGCGTATGCACCTCCCAATCTAAACAGAAGGAATCTACTAGCCAATCCTCAAATGTACCATGGCCCCGGGATTTTTCTACTTGTTTTGAGTATTTACAGTGCCATTGACTTCATCCTCTGCCTGGCTGATTTGCTTTTTCTGTTTTCAAGACTCAGCTCAAGTATTAACTCTTCCAACAACCCATCATGATCTGTGGCCCTCAGCTACCACCATCATCTACCAATGGTCAAATGAAGCAGTTCTCCACTTCTTAAGCCTATTTCTAGCAAAGTAACTGGCAGGCCATAACATCACTGCCTGTTTCCCTGTCAGTTATTCTGTTGAGGGCAAGGGCATGCATTCAGTTTATCTCTGTATGACCAACATAAAAGAGACACGTAGTAAAAGTCTGTAATTATCTTAAGCTAGCTGGTTTAAACAGAGAAAAGGTAAAAAAGTGTTCCCGTTTGTGATGCTAACTAGGCATAGAAATTCAAATTCCGACATAGTAGAACTTCCACATTCAAATACAAAATCTAATAGAAAAATATTTTCAGATCTCCTGAAATGTGTATATTTTTAATGTCCAAAAATGTATAGTATATAATGGGTTAATGTAATTATAAATTATTTAGGCATGTTCAAGTATCTGCTAATGTTTTCAATGGTTTTTTGTTTAAACACCTGGAAATTTGTAGACTATTCACTGAAACACTAGAAACATTTACAACCCGCAGCTCTGTGGATTCTTCCATGCCCTCCACTGGGTGGTATTGGAATGAGCTGTCCCCAGGCTTACTCTGTTCTCTTACCATCCTCCTTAAACCCACTCCCCTTCTCCTTCAGGGAGGGCCTTGAGTATCACTTTCCCTTGGAATTAATACCTCTCTTCACAGGTATGCCTCCTCCTCTGGGCTGCAGCATTCTCTGCTTATGATAAACAAACATTTACTAGACTCTAACACAATTCCTCATTTATAGGCTTGTCTTCATGATCCCCATCTTGAGAGCAAAGGTTCATGGTCATTGCTGACTACATGGTAGGTAATGCAGAGCCAGGGTCTGAGTAGAGTGTGTGCAAACGTGACAGGAAGAAGGAATGAAGAAACATGTCAGGAAAGACAGGTGTGGAAAAAGAAGATGACTCAACAGTCTAAGTCAACAATCTAATGGTGAAATATTCTTCAGCAGAGACCCTGAGGTCACAGAGGCAAGGACCGGTCTTTGCATCCTAGCTTCAGATAGATGTTAAGATGAAGATGTACGACCACAATATAAATATATTTCTTCTCTGTATAACTTGAAGAATTTTTATAAGAATTTAATCAAAGTCATGAAGAAACAAACTTGGAAATCATTCTACTATTGAAAAATATTCTTCTTCATCATGATATTATTTTTAAGTGAAATATGGTGTGGTGTAATTAAGATACCACTGAAACAACTTGAATATTCAGAAATCTTTTCATTAAAAAAAAAAAGAAAAAAAAAACCAGAATCCTTTTGTGACCATCACTGGAGCAGAAAACACCAAAACATCAATACTGCTGTGCTTCTGACCAAAGCAAGAACCATAGAAGGCATTTCAATGTATCCTCTCACATTTGAGGGAAGATTACGTCTTCCCCTCCTTTCAAAGAGCTGAGACAGTAGTATAATGCTAGGTCTATGCCCATCTGATTGGAGGATAAAGTTCAGGTTGTAGAAAGACGCTATAGAAGTCATCAGATTGGTGAAGTAGTCCAGGTTTACAAGAAGAAATATGTCACCTACACTGAATGAGTACAGCAGAAATGGGCTAATGGCATCACTATCCATGTGGGCACTCACCCCAGCAGGTGGTTATCACCAAGCTAAAGCTGGACTACAATGGAAATGTCTTAGAACAGAAAGCCAAATCTGGCCAAGAAGGGAAGAAATAAGACAAAAATAAGGAAGAAAGTGTTGTGATGTGTAAGAGGTCCTTGGGCACACAGACAAGCACTGGAAAAGCCAGGAAAGTTAAACATGCCAGGCTTGTCTCTTCACAGGAAGGAGATGTTTACCGCTCCACATGGAATGCTAGGAAAGAACTTCGTTTATGACCTGGTGATCTTTTGCTATCTGTAGGTCCAGGTTTCACCCAAATACTATGTATGTTTCTTTATCCCAACCCCTCCCCAAATCTTGAGCATTGCTTCTCAGTCCATAAAACCCATCCTTATGAGAAATGTCACTTGTATTATACAACAACTTTACAGCCTAAGCAACTTCTATATTATCTTAGGGCCAGGCTAGTCCCCTGGGCATTGCTTACCTCAGTCATTCTCCCTAGAACTTATCATGAGCAGAGGTCCTGAGTCAACAGGACCCATGTTTATGGAAGAAGCCATGTGTACTTTGAAAGGATTTTCAATGTCTTAAGCATTGAAAATATGCTCCCCCCAAAATATGCTGTGCTTAAATATGGCTAAAATCAACCACCCGGTGACAGACTGTAGAAGTCTAGCCCAACACTGGCTAAATAAGTCAGGGTGAGTTTCATTCTTGTCTCTCCTCACTGCCAGCCATGAAGTTTACAGGAACCCATAAACACACAATTCAAAGTGAAGACGCAGGAAGAGGGGAATATTGCATACTAAAGACTGGTTAAACGAAAAATAAAGGAATTAAGTTTTTCTTTGAGGTGCAAGGAGTAAAGGTGCCACAAAATAGGAAACAACGTGACAAACATGTAGGCAACACATGAAGTTTCAAGTGAAGCAAGGAAGAGAGAGGTGACCTACTGTAACAGAGCTTTGGTCTTCCTTGTGGGATCTTCCGGTTTGAAGTTTTTGTAGGCTTCTACTTCATGTTCTATGGAGAGCAGCTGACTCTGCAGTTTGTTCCTGAAGTTGGGCAGGGTATCTCGAATATGATTGGTAAGTTGCTAAATAAAACACAGCAAAACCAGACGTGTATCAGCCTGAAGATCGGCTCAGGAGGCGAACTACCTTCTGCCTCCACTGCTGCCCTCATCATTACCTCCTTAGAACTCACGGGCACGTTTGCTACAGACTGCATCGCAGTGTGGGAAGAGGCAGTGCTCACTCTTCTCCGCTGCCTTTGAGTCTACCACACCCTGCTAAAACACACCTGAAGTTACCTGAGGGACTGCCTGGCAGCACGTTAGTATTGGGTTTAACTTAAGATCGCTGTTCATTGATGGAACCTTAAGTTAAAGCGGACTAGAAACACCAGAGTCCAGTCAAATTTCATTCAACAAGAGTGTAGTTATGTCCCAACCTGGTAAGCACCTGGAACCTAATTGGGCAATCATGCCCTTCCAGTGTTCTACTACTCAAAGCCTACTTTATTTCTAACCTTATATTTGCAATCATATTAGTGAGTTTCCCCTACGATATTTTCAATCTGTTTATAGTTTTCTTAGGATGATACAGATATGGAACAATAACCTCAGAAGTGTTACTATCACTGGCTAAATGGGTAGAATAGTGTGGTTTGTACATGACCAACTTGGGTTGGTGTTTAAAAATGCCTTAAGTGATACAGCCAAATACTGCCATGTGGCTTCTAAATTCTCACATGCCCTTAATTAAAAAGCATACATTTTATGGTACTCTGTTAAATCACTTAAAAGTATTCTACTGGTCTTTATTTTCTAAAACTTCGGTAGTTGTTTTGCCCAAGTGGTTCAGATACGGTATCATCTACTGTTACTGACCAACCTTCACTGATGCCCTCAAAGGGCAAACAAGGGGACATTTGTGACTGTCTGGCTCATTGACAGATTATGTTCATAGAGAGGAGCTCATATAGAAATTATTAGGATATTTGTGACAAAGCCATTCACAATATTAGTCAGTGCAGTGAAAACTCAGGTCGGAAGCCTGTATTCAGTGGCCACCCATGCTTACCAAGATGCTCAGCTCCCATATGGAAAGAAAATATAGAAGTACGTGTGTTGAGGACTTATGGGAATGATATGTGTGATGCACGGAAGAGGACAGGCTGACTGTCCATTCCAGTTCTGTTCTTTTTGAGTGAGTGTGCTATCTGGAAAACATGTTTTAAATTAGTGGAAAACAATAATTGCTTCATCAAGATTTATTGTTTCACTATTTTAAATTAATAAACCAATAAATATTTAATAAAACCATTAAAGAGTTAATGGAAAAAATCTAACCTAACTATCATGGTTTGACATTTGAAACAGATCCCCAAAAGGGTACCTTGTCGGAGCTGTGTACGTTTAACTTAAGATACTACGTATTGTGAGTGAATGCTCACACATGTGTCTCCTGTTTGCTGTTCCTAACTCAGGATGTGCTTTGCTTTGAATACTGCCAACAATACTGAGGTGGAATCAGTTCCATGAGAATAGTGAGTGTGTGGGTCTAAATAATTAATTTTTTTAATTATTATCAAAAGCAAAGTGAACCTTAGGTGGGCAAAATAAATCTTATAATAAGAAATGTTAATTCAAGTAATCTACACATTTCATAATTGTACATAATGCTTAAAAGAATAATTTTTACCTGATTCAGGACCTTCTGGAGGTGTGGGGTCCCCATACGATCAGCAATATGTCTATAAGCCGGGTGAGAAAGAAAAAATTTCCTCTCTGCCAACATGGCTGCCTTAATGTCCTTCTTTCCATCTATGTCCTTCTGGCTCCTGTTGACCACCCCCACGTAGCCTGAAATGAAACACAAACCCATGGGATCTGGAACACTTTCTGCCATTTGTTCTAGAGAAACTTCAAGGCTCTCTAACAGGCAAAGTTGGTTTTAAGGCCTAAATACTGAGTCTCCTTACAATGTTCCATCTAAGACCTCACTAATCAATAAATACCTCTGGTTTGACCATTGATAAATTGTTGACATCAACAGAATACTATACCACACCTTTGAAAGCTCTATACACTTTATGAAACTATATCTTAACCGTTGTGTCATGTAGCAGGCAAGTAAACATCAGCCTTAAGACAGAAGGGTGTATATTTTTGTAGCTTATGATGAATATTTATAAACCCCCTTCAAACTCCTTCCTTCCTCTGTTTTCCTATTTCTGTTATTTTAAGACATAGTTCTCTTCTTGAACTGTTCTTTAATACAACACTTGGGAACCTTGTGCCAATCCATGTAAAGTACAGCTAATAATAAATCACTCCCTTTTAACAGAGGCAGAAGTACTGCCAGGCCTCCCTGTGGCTTGCCAGTCGTTTCCCTGCTGTATTAGAAAAGGCCTGAAGAGACCACAGCACATTACCCCTGCGAAGAGGCAGCAGCTTGTTCTCCAGCACATCCCTGGCATCCGTTCCTTCATCCATGAGATCCAGCTTGGTGATAACACCAATGGTCCTTAGACCTGCATTATGAACAGACACAGTTTTCATTACACAGTTTGCCAAGACCTAACCAATTCTATGGGGCATAAGTGTCTCAGCACTAAATGTAAGGCTCATATTCTAGACCCTTCTCCTGTTTCTCTATAGCTCCCTCTTCTTCTACTCTGCTGTCACACAAGTCTGCTGATCATCTGTTGTAAGGGGGAGGGTTACATACCTACTATCCATGAGATAATTTTCCATCCAAGAGAGAAAAGCAGCTATATCACAAATATACTACTAAATACAGTCATGTTTCACATAAACATGCGGATATATTCTGAGAAATGCACTGTATGTAGAATTCATCACTGTGCAATGCAATCATCTAGCATATATTTATGTAAAGTAAGTGGCACAGGGCAGTGTCTCAGTGGAGCTCCTGGTGTAAGCAAGAGATGCCGACGACTAAGCTGCTCTACAATGACCTCAGGAGATCACTATCACGATCTCATATACATGCATCCCACATGAATGGAAGAGTTGTTATAGAGCACTGTAACTGTATGAGTTGCATACACAAAGCAAGGAAGGGAGGAGCAGAAATTTTGATTATTCTTATTAATACCCTTGCAGTAAAAGAAGTCTTTGGATTCATAAAGCATTGAGCACCAGAGAAACACTCAGAGAAAGCAGAGCAGAGATGAAAATGTTAGAATGGTTAGAAGACAAAGTTGATGAATTACGCCAGAAAAAAGTACCGTGAACAGCTTAAGTAAATAGCTGTGAAGGTGCAATGCCTGAACAGTTGGCACCCCAAAGGGGAAAGCCTGGGCGGAAATAGTCAAGATTCAAGAACATCCTATTCACAAAAATGTCCCAAAAGTGAAAGGTATAATTTTATAAGTTGAATGAACTCGGAAAGTGCCCAGCACAAGTGAAAACATATGCAATTTGTCACGTCAGTGTAAGATTTCAAACCACTAGAAACAGAATGTTCCAAAAAATTCTGCCAGATGGATTTCCAAAGAAAGCTGCATACAAATGGCTGCGAGTCACGGCCATCTCAGCCTTCCCAGAAACAAACTGGAAAACTCAAAAGCAACAGAGAAGTTGTTTCAAAATCCAGAAGGAAATAAGTTTAACATCGAATTCTAATTTACTAGTAAATGTGACACTAGAAAAAAAACCTGACTACTGTCTTGTGAAATACCAGAATGTTTAAATGCCTTTCATTTTCTAGGTACCTAGTAAAGCATAATCCCTATAAAACAAGGGGGTGACTTAAAGAAGAAATGAGAACCAGCAGCTGTGTGGTATCTTCAACAGTAGTGTTCCACCCCCTTTTTCTGGAAGGCACTAAAGACAACAGCAATAGCTTGTATTGGCTTTTTGGGAGAGAGAGGGGTCTCTTAGACTCCCCCAAACAATAGCTCAAAGGGTTTTCCAGGCCTGTTATTAAGATTTTTTTGTTGGATAGTTTATAGTTTGGGGGAAGAGCACTGTCTCCCAAATACTCTAACTTCAATTAAGTATATATTTTTGCATATATATTATATGTAATTTTAAGTAAATATAAAAATAATACGCTATGGCTTTATCAAATATCCATAGAGTTATTTATCCCTCCTCTTCCCCTCTTCACCTGGGCTTAGAATCAAATATACATTTATGTTTAAGTACATGTAGGTATGGGAAAATGATGTAAAGACTTAAGTTTTCTTCCTCCACACTACCAAGCCAAATAAAAACTCAAAGTTTTAAAATATCAAGAAGTGGCAGGATAAGCTTATTAGATAAGGGAGGCAAATACCAAATGCAACAGCTACAAAAGTTGAGTGGGTACTTCAGGAAACAGAAAATTAGGAATCAGGAGGCATATAATCAAAGGCTTTTATCAACAGGGTGAACAGTGTCTTTTAGCATTACCAGCTGACTTTAAGGTGTACAAATTAATTAATAATATATCATATGTATTATATTATATTAATATGAATATAGTATATATGTTAAATGTATGACTTTGAGAAATACATATGTGTAATTTTAATTTTTAAAAGCTGGTCATAAAGTGTCCCTTTTTTACTCTTGTATTTCTAAAAAAGGCAGCCAAGTGCTCTCTTCATGAGGTGGTGTACCAGAAATGGAGAAGAGGCCTGTTTTCTTTTTCTTCACATTTGGTTCCACAAATAGGCAGCTTAAAATAATCAATGAATGAACTCCTGCTGGCAGAACTAAGACCTGTACTGATGGGTCTCAAAAAAGCCATTGTCAGAAGAGATGTCAAAGGCTTGAGCCCTGCCCCTGGGAATTTAAAGACCTGAGTAAAACAGAACACATTGTTGATCCCTGATCCCATGCCTGTCTCAGTAGGAACTCAAAACGAAAACCATATGAGATAGGTGCTATTATTTTCTCAGTTATACAGGTTATGAGAAGTGAGAAGAAAACTACACCTGCCGAAGGGTCACAGCCTATAGACATGGAGTTTGGTGGTGCTCAGCCCAAATTCATTCCATTTGTAACATACTGATTTCTCTACACCCAGTTCTCAGGTTCTATAAGTAATTAGCTGTGTTATTCAGCAGCTTAGTCGTGACACCTAGTGCCCCATATCTATAGAACTAGAGGGTTGGCTACAAGTCAGAATTCTGGAGATGGGAGAGATTTCCAGATTTAAAAGAGGTGTCTTCAGTGAGGAGTAAAGAGCAGGTTCGGAGCTGTTGTGATTCTTACTACTGTGTTTCCACTGTGCTTTTCTCCAATAAAGAACAGCCTCAGTGCTGAGAATCAGTGAGTCCTGGGCTTGACCTTGGGAAGACAAAGACACCTCAGAAATCTGATGCTTATGTAGAAAGGAAGTTCAGTGCACAGACTCAGGAAGAGATCAACCCTTCTCAGCTCTGGGCTGCCCATGTCTTCATCAATAGGAAACAGAATCTGTTAGCTGTTCAGCCACACACCACAGTTCCCTACTGTCCAGGAGTGGTTTTTAGCAGTGCTCCTTGCCAACTCTCAAAAGGCAGCCTTTCTGAAGAAGAAGTTTTACAGGCCCTCAAGCTCATCACAAAGAGGGAGATGATACATTAGAATAGCAGGAGTCCAGCCTGGCAGGAACACATCTCAGACCCATCTTGACAACTGGTAAAAATATAAACAGGCCAAGCCAGCAACAACACATTGCACATCTGTCAGGTGGAAGATCACAGTGAAAGATTCTGCCAAAAATCTTTGGCAAGACAGGTGAAGAATAAATAATCCCATTTTACAAAAGTAGAAACTTAGAACCAGAAATCTCCTGGGGGCTCAGACTTGGAGTAGGGAAACCTAGTTTGTGATTCCAAAAGGCAATCTTTGGGGCTCTCAAAGGGAATGTTATCATTATCCAAGGGCAATGAAGTGTTGTTTCTTAACCGATGTCCCAACAGATGAGTAAACTAGTGTTCAGTGTTGCAGCGAGAAAGCTAAAGTCTGCTGGGCAGACTTCATTGTAAAGACGGCAAGAGTTAAGAGCAAGATGCTTCTCCAGGCAGTGGTGGCCCATGCCTTTAATCCCAGCACTGGGGAGGCAGAGACAATTGAATCTCTGAGTTTGAGACCAGCCTGGTCTACAGAGTGAGTTCAAGGACAGCCAGGACTACAAAGAGAAACTCTGTCTCAAAAAAAAAAATGGGGGGGGGGAAGATGAATATACTTCCACATTGTGTGTGTGTATATGTGTGTGTGAAGTCATTGATATAGGTGGCAAACAGTAAGAATTTAGTTTATGAGCCAAAAAAATTAATGAAAATACCAAGTTGTCTATTTTGACAGGATCATACAGAAACTGAAATACAAGTTCTAGAGAGGCTCCAGGATAACATTCTCCCATACTACCTAGGCTTAATGTCAGAACACAGTGATTTATTAAAAGGATGCTGCCATTCTTCTATTCATATGTGCTATTAAACTATAAGCACTGTGGTTCTGTTCATGTAATTAAGAAGTGGAATCAAACCAAACTGAGCTACAGACAACATTATCAGCTGCCAGGAAAGCAATCTGGAACACAGTACACAGTAAAATAACAATAAAAATAGTCATTATAGAAGTAATATAAAAATATATACAGCAAAATTTAAAACATACATATTAAATTATATGTACTAGAGTTAGTACATGTTTTAGATTTAAGTGTCATCTGGGGGTGAAATAAATGTCGCTCTTTCTATTCAGCAATGGTTATAGAATATTTTATTTCTGAAAACAACTAGTGGTGAATAGGAAGGGTTTAGTCTATAATTTTTCCACGAGTTTTATTTTCTTGTTACTTCTAATGCCGCTGAAAACAGTTCTTATTTTTGAAGTCACCAGTTAGTATTATTTCATGTATTACTATGTAAAATATTAACTACACAGTTCAAAACATTGAAAATACACAGTGGCAGAGACACTGTCTTGTCCATGTTCACTAGAATAGTCCAGAGAAGAGCAAAGTAAGTTGGAAGTTGTAATGTATGTGAAAAGAGGAGTAAGGAGAGCTATATAAGAAAAGAGAAAAGGGAAGAGAGAGAGAACAGAGAATGGAAAGAAGTCTTTCAAAGGCAAGAGAGTTTGGATGCAGAGCCTTTCTTTCACTGAGAAGCTGTGCTCCAAAACAGAACCTAGGCACAAAACACCCAACCCCTGCTGGCTGTCAGCTGAGTATGTGTCCTTCTTCTCCCCTATCGGGGCTAAATTAAATGTCCAAGTTTCATTTTCAAATAAGTAACAATGTGCCTGTGATTAAGATTGAGCTAAAGGGATATACACAAAACTGGCATATGTCATGTTTAGAGTTGGTTCATATCACTTCCCACATCAGTTCCAAAATGTTTTTGGGGGCCAGGACAAGATGGCTGCACCAGGAGAACAGGGTGTCTGAGGAGTCAGACAACATTTCCTGTACAGTGACCAAGAGACTGAACCCTGGGCCCTAAAACAACAGCAATCGTGTTTTTCAGGTGAGAGGAAACCCCCACAATGTGGGAATCTGTCTTGACCACTCTCGGGTCCCCCAGCC